TATAATGCTTGTCGTACATTGGTTTTGTTCATTAAAGTTATAAATTTATGGAGAGCAGAACTATCTGATCAGAAGACATGAAAACTTTTTGTACTGTTTCTAGTCTGAGAGGGAATAATGGAAATGACCGTCTAGTCCCCAGACTCTGCCTTTCTGTTTTTCACTCTGCAACATCTCATTGCTTCTCTGAAACCAAGTGGGAAATAACATAAATCAATAACTTATGCAGTTCACTAAGCATTTCTGGTAACTGGCCTACATTTTAAATAATTTCATATTATATTATTATCTTTTTTTACAACCACCTCCTATATTTATCTATTATAGGTAATTTATTTCAGCAGATCTCTTTAATAATTTTGTCACATTTATTTCAAATATCCCAAAGTGTATGTTTGGTACTTTATTATTTAATAGCAAGATGTCAGATAGTACATTACTGTTATGAAATTGAAGAGAGTGAGAAACATTTCTCCTGACCTATGAGAAAAAATAAAACCTTTGAACACCAAAAGAAAGTACAAATTTTACTCACGACACTTAGGAACTAAAAATAGGAGGTACAAACATTTTCAATAATTTCAAAAATACATATAGGAGTGAGCAAAAGTTGATTTACAGCTGTAAGTATGGGAAACAGAGTTCTTTCTTACATTATTATTTGTTTATTCATTATTCTATTATGTATTACAAACAACTATATACCTACTTTTTCCCAGCCCTATATTAAATATGCTTAACTTCATAATATGAGGGCTATAAGATGAAAGAGTGAGTACTTTGGTCATAGCTTATTGTTTCTTAGGCTGTGGATTTCAGAGGACTCAATACTTTTTGAAAAGTGATTAATTGTGGTTAGGGCATTAACTAATCTTTATTCTTTTTTTTCTTTTTTTTTAATTTTATTTTAATCATTGTTCAAGTACATTTTTCTGTCCTTTACTCCCATTCCAGCCCACTCACCCATCCCTCCTCACTTCCCTCCCATTTCCATGTTTTTGTCCATGTGTCTTTTTAAATTTGTTCCTGTAAACCCTTCCCATTCTCCCCTGAAATTCCCTCCTCTCTCCCCTCTGGTCACTGTCAGCCTGTCCTCTATTTCAGTGTCTTTGGTTATATTTTGCTTGTTTCTTTGTTTTGTTGTTTAGGTTCCTGTTAAAGGTGAGATCATATGGTATTTGTCTTTCACTGCCTGGCTTATTTTGCTTAGCATAATACTTTACAGCTCCATCCATGCTGTGGCAAAGGGCAGGAGCTCCTTCTTTCTTTCTGCTGCATAGAATTCCATTGTGTAAATCTACTATAGTTTTTTGATCCATTCATTTACTGATGGGCATCTAGGTTGCTTCCAGCACTTAGCTATTGTAAATTGTGCTGCTATGAACATTGGGGTGAAGAGGTTCTTTTGGATTGGTGTTTCAGGGTTCTTAGGATATAGCCCCAAGTGGAATTGCTGGGTCAAAAGGCAGATTCATTTTCAGTTTTCTGAGGAAGTTCCATACTGTTTTCCATAGTGGTTGTACCAGTCTGCAGTCCCACCAACAGTGCACTAGGGTCCCTTTTTCTCCACAACCTCTCCAACATTTGTTGTTTGTTGCTTTGTTTATGATGGTCATTCTGACTGGTGTGAAGTGGTATCTCATTGTGGTTTTAATTTGCATCTCTCTGGTAGCTGGCGATATTGAGCATCTTTTCATGTGTCTGGATCCTCTGTATGTCCTCCTTGGAGAATTATTTGTTCAAGTCCTTTGCCCATTTTTCAATTGGGTTGCTTGTCTTCTTAGAGTGGAGTCGTGTAAGTTCTTTATATATTTTGGAGATTAAACCCTTGTCTGAGGTATCATTGGCAAATATGTTTTCCCATACAGTTGGTTCTCTTTTTATTTTGATACTGTTTTCTTTAGCTGTGCAGAAGCTTTTTATTTTAATGAGATCCCATTTGTTTATTCTTTCTTTTATGTCCCTTGCTCTAGGGGACATGTCAGTAAAAATGTTTCTGTGTGAAATATCTGAGATTTTCTTGCCTATGTTCTCCTCTAGGACTTTAATGGTGTCACAGTTTATATTTAAGTCTTTTATCCACCTTGAATTAATTTTTGTGTAAGGTGTAAGTTGGTGCTTGAGTTTCATTTTTTTGTATGTAGCTGTCCAGTTCTCCCAACACCATTTGTTGAAGAGGCTATTTTTACTCCATTTTATTTTGCTGCCCCGTTTGTCGAATATTAATTGACCATAGAGACTTGGGTTTATTTCTGGGCTCTCTGTTCTCTTCCATTGGTCTATGTGCCTGTTTTTATGCCAGTACCAGGCTGTTTTGATTACAGTGGCCTTTTAATATAGTTTAGTATCAGGTATTGTGATCCCTCCTACTTTACTCTTCTTCCTCAAGATTGCAGCAGCTATTTGGGGTCGTTTATGGTTCCATATAAATTTTTGAAGTGTTTGTTCTATGTCTATGTGAAATATGTCTATGTTCTATGTGAAATATGCCATTGGTATTATAATAGGTATTGCATTGAATGTGTAAATTGCTTTGGGTAGTATGGACATTTTGATGATATTAATTCTTCCAATCCATGAACACGGTATATGTTTCCATTTGCTTGTGTCTTCCTTGATTTCTTTCCTCAGTGTTATGTAGTTTTCTGAAGGTTCATTCCTAGGTATTTTATTTTTCTTTTTGCTGTATCGAATGGGATTTTTTTTCTTGATTTCTGCTTCTGCTGTCTCATTGTTGGCATACAGAAATGCCTTTGATTTCTGGATATTGACTTTGTATCCTGCTGTTTTGCCAAATTCATTTATTAGGTCAAGCAGTTTTTTGGCTGAGTCTATAGGATTTTCTATGTACACGATCATGTCATCTGCAAACAGTGACAGTTTTGTTTCCTCCTTTCCGATTTGCATGCCTTTTATTTCTTTTTCTTGTCTGATTGCTGTGGCTAAAACTTCCAGTACTATATTGAATAGAAGTAGTGAAAGTGGACAAACTTGTCTTGTTCCTGATCTTATTGGAAAAGATTTTAGTTTTTGCCCATTGAGTATGATGTTGGCTGTAGGTCTCTCATATATGGCCTTTATTATGTTAAGGAATGCTCCTTCTATTCCAACTTTGCGGAGGGTTTTTATCATAAATGGGTGTTGTACCTTATCAAATGCTTTTCCCACATCTATTGATATGATCATGTGATTTTTGTCTTTGCTTTTGTTTATGTGGTGTACTACATTTACTGATTTGTGAATATGGTACCATCCTTCATCCCTGGGATGAATCCCACTTGGTCATGGTGTATCATCTTTTTAATGTATTGTTGGATGCGGTTTGCCAATGTTTTGTTGAGGATTTTAGCGTCTATGTTCATCAGCAATATTGGCCTGAAGTTTTCTTTCTTTGTTGTGTCTTTATCTGGTTTTGGAATTAGGATGATGCTGGCCTCATAAAAAGAGTTTGGGAGTCTTCCATCTTTTTGGATTTTTTGGAATAGCCTGTGAAGGATAGGGGTTAGCTCTTCCTTAAGTGCTTTGTAGAATTCTCCTGTGAAACCATCTGGTCCCAGGCTTTTGTGTGTCAGGAGTTTTTTGATTACTGTTTCAATTTTATTTGCCGTTATTGGTCTGTTCAGGCTTTCTGCTTCTTCTTCATTGAGTTTTGAAAGATTGTATTTTTCTAGAAATTTGTCCATTTCACCTAGGTTTTCAAATTTCTTGGCATACAGTTCTTCGTAGTAATTTCTTACAATCCTTTGTATCTCTGTGGTATCTGCTGTAATCTCTTCTCTTTCATTTCTGATTGTGTTTATTTGGGTCTTCTCTCTTTTTTTTCTTGATGAGTCTGCTTAAAGGCTTGTTGATTTTGTTTATCTTTTCAAAGAACCAGCTCCTGGATTCATTGATTCTTAGAATTGTGCTTTTCATCTCGATGTCATTTAATTCTGCTCTGATCTTGGTTATTTCCTTCCTTCTACTTGCTCTGGGCTGTCTTTGTTGTTGTTCCTCGAGTTCTTGTAGACATAGGGTTAGGTTGTTTGTTTTAAATGTTTCTATCTTTTTTAGGTATGCCTGTATCGCTATAAACTTCCCTCTCAGAACTGCCTGTGCTGTGTCCCATAGGTTTTGGGTTATTATGAGTTCATTTTCATTTGTAACTAATCTTTATTCTTAAAGCTGCTAAGGATCGAGTGCACAAATATCCTTTGCACTCTCAGGAAAAAGGCCTCAACATTTATACCCGGGCCACAATAACATGTATTGTTCACAACAGTATTCCAAAGCCTACCTATGTCAGCTATCTCCTGCCAGAAAAGAAGGGAAAGTTTCTAAGTAGGTATTATTTACCCTGGAATAGAAAACTGACAGAATTTTGAAGTTAAAAGAAATGTAGATCATCCTGGATAACTGTTTCATTCCAACCTGAGAAAACACACTTAGAGAAAGAAGTAAACTCCAGTGGTTACAAAGGTGTGTGAGTGTGTGTGCACATGTATATTTGTGCATGGTCTGGTAACTAGCTGTAACCTCTCTCTGCTTAAGGAAATGTGCTTAGATGTATAACTTGAAATTTGGGTTAAAGGAAAATTTTTTCAGAAATGAGGGCTATTTGATATTAAAATGGTTTTCAGAGAAAGCTTGTCTATGTCTTACAAGGAGAAAGTTGGATTGTTTTAGAGTCTGTTAGTCTAAGATTCATGGATTTCAACCCTCTTTAAAGAGAAAAGATCAAATAAGCAAAAAGGTAATTGTCATCCTTGCCTTTTTATGAATTAATTTTGTTCATTCAATAAACCTTTATTGAATGACTAATGAATCAATGTTGAGTCAGGTCCTTGGTTTGAAGACATAAACCAGAATAGTTTCTGGCCTCAAGGATCTTCCAAACTAAAATGATTTTTGTTTACCATTGATACTAGAAAAATGAGTAACTTCTGTATAGAGATAGCTATCCACTAATTGTTACAACAAAGTAAGTGTGAACTAGTAATTTATATGTATTTTTCTTACAGGTCAAACACAATTCAAAGTAGTAATCAAATCTATCTCACCTAAAGAGGTAGTCCGGATTCATGTCCCTAAACCTTTGGACAGGAATGATGGAACATTTTTGATGAGGTATAGGATGTATGAAACTGTCAATGAAGGGCTGAAGATAGAGGTCCTTTATGGTGATGAACATGTAGCCCAGTCTCCCTATATTTTGAAAGGTAAGTGATTATTACATAATCCAGAGCCAGCCACATGTGTAGATCCTATGCCTTTCAGATTAGGCCATGATTACCTTGAAGTCATATGTAACAAACTAAACATGGTATATGTATCTCCTAAAGCTCAATTTAACTTGAAATTTTAAGGGAAAGAAAACTATGTAATTTAAAGAGATTTAAATACTAACAAAAAGATCTTGGATATTTAGCCATTATAGTCCCCATTTCCAGTATTCTTCATTCTTTCTATAAGCGAAGTCACATTATGTTCATCAGCCATTTATAACTCACTAGAAATAAATTTATCAGCTTCTTTACCAAGAATAGGTTATATTGGGAAAGAGCATGTGTTATATAGTACGTTGTCTAGGGGGTATGAAAGAGAGACAGAAGATAGAAGCACAGGATTCTGATATAACTAGTCTTGCTAGTCTGGATAATCTTAGAATTTATCCCGTGTTCATATCAGGGGTGGAAACAACTCCTTGCTATGTGCTGGTTAATAAAGTGTGGCATTGTGTGTGTTTTGCCTTCCCTAGGACCAGTATACCATGAGTACTGTGAGTGTCCAGAAGAGGATCCTCAGGCCTGGCAGAAAACTCTTTCTTGTCCAACCAAAGAACCACAGATTGCAAAAGATTTTTCTTCTTTCCCCAGCATTAATCTCCAGCAGATGCTAAATGAAGTTCCTAAAAGGTTTGGGGAAGAGAGGGGTGCCATTGTTCATTACGCAATTCTCAATAACCACGTCTACCGGAGACCTTTAGGGAAATACACAGACTTCAAAATGTTCTCAGATGAGATTTTGCTATCACTGGCAAGAAAGGTATGAGAATGAATTCACTTATTTTAAAAACAATATGATTTAATTATTTAGTTGTAACATTTAAATGCTTAGGAGAATAAGGGCAAAGGACGGAAATGGATTCCAGGCTTGGAAATGTGCATGTAAGAGGCCTACTTCCTGAGTGTTTGTAGGTTCTCCACTTTCATGGATCTCCCTTTCCTTTAATATTTACATTAAATGGCTTTAGCATTTATCCCAGATAAGCAGGACACAGGGCACTCCCAAAGTTTCTGTGCACTTCCAGATATTTACAGCCTCAAGGTCACTTCCAAAGGTTTTCCTTTCCTGTTGAACATTCCTTCCATTCCGATTTTACTTTCTGCATCTGTTTTTTTCTGGTCATCTCAAAATGACTTGATTTTTGAACACATCTTTCTTGTTTTACTATAAGCACCTCTAAAAGATACTGTATGCAGAAGGTTGAAGTTTGGAGTAATAGAGAAAAGTTATTTTGTACTAGTACATAGTAAAATCAATCAATCAATCAATATACAAAACCCCTAACATTTAAAAATAGATATCACTGTATTAATCAGACCCTCAGTCACACTCTTCCCCATTCTTCTATTCAGCCCTTCTTTTTCCATTTGCAAAACTCTTAAGCAGAGTAATTCAAAATGAATTTTCTTTCTTCCTGACCATACAGAGTTAGGCGTGAAGATGGGCAATTTTTATATTTCTTACCCAGAATGACCATCAAGGTAGTTTTCTAAACTAAAAGCCAACTTTGCTGGTAGAGGCTATACAAATTCCCAAGCATGCTGAATGTCTGGGTGCAATCATTTCTGATTTTAAATAGTTGCCCCACCCGCTAACCCTGGCCAGCCTGCAATATGAGTTATTATGAGCACCTGACCCTAAAGGTGGTACTTTCTTCCTGGTCTGCCACCCGTCCACCCTGTCCTGTATCCCTGTGTCTTGTACTCATGTGGTTTTCAACTAGGAATAATTTTGTCCCTCAGAGAACATTTGACAATGTCTAGAGACATTTTTGTTTGTCACCACTGAGGGATTGCTAGTAGCATCTAGTGGGGAGAGGCCAGGGATGCTGCTAAACATCCTACAATACACAGAATATCCCCCCACAGCAAAGAATTACCCTCAACAAAATGTCAGTAGTGCTGAGTTTGAGAAACCCTGCTCTATAGTCAGAACTACTGATGTGGAGTTTACTAATGAGCTTATAAATTATATTAGGGAAGCAATAGTGTGAATAGCCACATCCCTTGCCTTTCCCTTTTGTTCTAGGCTCTTTGCCCAGGGACTGGGAAGAAATCTAAGATAAATGAGACTCACCTCTGGTCTTAGAGACCCTGGCTCTAGTAGAACTTGTTTTTGTTATTTGAAAGTGAAGGTGGGATGTGAATACAAACAAATAATTGTGCCACAATGTGATAGGCCTGAGAGAAAAGTAGGTACCTAGGTTAAACTGCCTGGGAGGGTGAGTCATACAGGAGGTAACTGGGGTTTAGATCTGGGTTTAGGATGAAAAATGAGAGTGCCAAGTAAATAAACAGGAGAAGAACATTCCAGCAGGAGAGAATTGCATATTAAAGTGGAAAGCATTTTCAGAGAATAGCCTGAAGTTTACTGGCAATAAGCAAATGGAAGATGGGGTCAAAGCTAAACTGGAGCAAGAGAGTAGGGCCTTGAGTTCTAGCCAGAGAGTTTAGACCTTGTCCTAAGGCTTAAGGTTCTATGAAGCCTGATAGTAACATGAACTTGCGTTTTAGAAATATGGGCAGCCGTGTGGAGTGCAGATTAGACTGGAGAGAATCTAGCATCAGAACACCTAGTAATAAGTAAGCTATTACCATCTAGGCAAGAGATGATAAAGGCCCAAACTGGTATTGACCATGGAGATGGAAATGGAGTAGCAGATTCCAGAATCAAAGGTAGACGTGCTAGAAAGGTTTGATAGAGAAAGAAAACAAGGGCTTGAGTCTAACTTTGTAGATACTCATTTAGGCAGCTGCCAGAAAGGAAGCCACTTGTTTATACTTGTCTACACGATCTCCACTTTTGTCATATGAAGCCATTTAAAATGTTTAGCTGACTCCTGGTTAAGTGAATTGACCATGTGACATCCTCATCTTTGACTTCTGACGCTGCTGATGACTGACAGGCATGCTTCTCTCTTTTGCTGCTATTTTTGAGCATTCAATTTTACCTGAAATATTTAAGAAAGCTGAAGAATTAAAGCATTTAGTACCAAAGGCTGAGTGAAGTCTTCCCTGCACTGATGTTCATATTTTTGTTTATTTAGGTTCTTCTTCCAGATTTAGAATTTTATATTAATCTTGGTGATTGGCCTTTGGAACATCGAAAAGTCAATGAAACCCCTGGCCCTTTACCTATCATTTCATGGTGTGGCTCTCAGGATTCACGAGATATTATCCTTCCCACGTATGACATTACCCACTCCACACTTGAAGCCATGAGGGGTGTTACAAATGATCTCCTCTCTATTCAGGGAAATACAGGTAAATTCAAGTTCATTACCTAAGAAAAAGCTTACAGGTAAAAAAACAATGAAGGGGATGTTTAGTCAGGGGAAGTATATATATTATATATATTTAAATAACCATTTTTCTTATTTTCTAACCAAGAAAGAAAAACCCAGCACCCTAAACTGTAAAGAGTTTTGTTTAAGATCCTTCTACTACAAAAATTAAAGATGTAGGAGTTGGAGTAGTAATGTCCAAATCTACCATAACTGAGTCTCTTTTGAGTTGGTTACTTGTAAATACAATTTGAACATATATCTTGGTAAAATTGTCACCTAACTTAATTCTGACTTCAATGCCTTCATATTGCTAGATGAAGTGAGAGAGAATTTTGAAAAGTATGAAATTATATGCATATCTAAGAGAATATGATAACAGCATAATTTGGATATTACCTCCAACACTTTGTAAGAAATCCTCCCCTTTCCTTTTTTTGGCCTCTCTCAATTCTTTAAAATCTGAATTCTTTTCTCCCTGTTTGAGGGCCTTTGGTTTATGGCACAACACACATTTTATTAAACTGAGCTCCCTGAGTAGAAGAAACCTGCCTTCTCTCTGTAGCCTCTTTCTGTTTATTGTGGCTTGGTGGGCTCCTTATAAATTATCTAAAGATAATGTGAAATGAAAACTGACCTACTTTTTATTTGATAACAACTAATTTCTGAAAAGTGTGCTAGCATAGCAAAGCATTTGATCCCTTCTAATTTCTATGTTTTGAGATTTATTTCTTAGAATACTGACAGGTGTTAACTGATGACCTCTCTGTAGAATAATAAAAATAGATTTAAATTATTTCTTCCAGAATATTTCCCTACCAGGAAAGAGAATATAAATCATTGTATGTGTGTGTATATATATTTTTTCACTTAAGAGCATGTTAGAAGAAGCTTTTCCTGTATTCAGAGTAATATGCTCAAAATTCTGAGCATCCTAAGGATTAAAGATGTGTGGGTGTTACTTGGTTATACAGTTTGTTCTGGTCACCTTGTTTAAGAACAAAAGCCTAGTTCATTTTTATTATGAAGCACAAAAGATGGAAGAAGCTAATACCTCTGTGAATAGGCCAAGTCATTGAGTCTCTTTTTGTTTTGAACTTTACCTAATATTATTTTGGATATTTTCTAATGTTATACAACAGAAACTCCAACATTTGAGTGAACTCTCCCTAATAGAAAAATGAATGAAAGTAGAGCATGCTAATGCCATAATTTTTGGAAATAGCATTTACTTTAGAAGATATATTAATGATAAAAGAGCTTTAACATCTTCAATGACAATGATAAATTAAAGATGGTTCTACTTATCATATAAAAGTTTCAAAGCCATTTTTTATGGTCTCAAACTTCTAGGGCCTTCCTGGATCAATAAAATAGAGAAAGCTTTCTTCAGAGGTAGAGACAGCCGAGAGGAGAGGCTCCAGTTGGTGCAGCTATCCAAAGAAAATCCGCAGCTACTGGATGCAGGAATTACGGGGTATTTCTTTTTCCAAGAAAAAGAAAAGGAGCTTGGAAAAGCTAAATTGATAGGTTTTTTTGATTTCTTTAAGGTATGCATTTAAGTCTTCCTGGGTGGATATGAAATAATAAATTTGTAAATAGCTGGGCTTGGGCCAATTTCTTCATCTTGTGAGCTGACACAGTTTCTTATCAGGCATGGGGAATTGGAAAATTCACTGTGGTTCACTGTTGTTGCTGATTTTGTCTCCCAAATAGCTCAGAACTATTTCAATACTGAAAATATAGTACAAGGATTAACCTGGAGTTTGGGTGCATTTCTTTGTTTTTCTCTTGTATTTGCTTTGAATAAGCTGGGTATATAAATGTCCTTTGCATAAAATGATCTCAAATGCCTTCTGTAAATTAAAAATGTATGAATTCCATGTAAGTAAAACAGGAGCCGCCATTGAGGTTAAGTCCTGCCTCCAGTCCTGTCTCTGCCCTCTAGACACACGTGCTGCCTGCCTGACGCCTCCAGAGCATTGCCGTGAGGTTCCAAGGAGTCAGAGGGGTCAACAATGTGACAAAACCTGACTGGCTAGCAAGCTCCTTGATTTCAATTATTTAAGAAAATTTTGATTACTAAATTTCAAAGTAAATCCTGTTCATCTCAGTGTGATATAATGAAAAGAACAAGGGATTTGGACTCAGAGAACAGAGGTTTATAAATTTCTCTGAACACTAGTTTTCTCATTTGTTAAAAAAAAAGGGGGAGAGGAAGAATGCTAACACCTGCTTCACATGATTATAATTGAATGAGCTTTAATGGCCATGATAAGTGATTTTAAAATGAATATCAAAGTTTATTAGTCCAACAAATATGTAAACGGAGTATGTACAGTGTCACCACTATCACCCTCATCTTTTAGCTTCTACAGGATTCTGTCTCCTCACGTCTAAAACTGAACTTTGAGATACTGCCTTCCTTTTTTGTATTATTGTGGACATAAGGAACAAAACGAGATAATGTATAAGTAAAATTTTAAATTAATCAATATTCAGTTTAATAAATATAAAATCTTTGAAAATAGTTTTCTTACCTTGTTACAGAAATCTGAATTCCCCATTGCATAGACGTAGTTGAAATAGGTCTTCCCATTTTCTAAAATTATTTGTGATCTTATCTTTAAATGCATTGTATTTCTTAAAATTGACCTGTTAATGGCTGCTTATAATTTTAATACAAAGAGAAAATATGATTTACAAAATAAAATGTAAAAATGTTAAACAATAAGTTTAGAAAGTAGAAATCAATTCCTTCATACTTAGGATTACAGTGTTGATGAGAAGCAAAGTGAAGCAAATGACTGTTAAAATTTTTGTTTGTGTTGGCTTTAATTTTTTAGTACAAATATCAAGTGAATGTGGATGGGACCGTGGCTGCGTACAGATATCCGTATCTCATGCTGGGTGACAGTCTGGTTCTGAAGCAGGACTCACCATATTATGAGCATTTTTATATGGCACTAAAGCCTTGGAAACATTATGTACCAATTAAAAGAAATCTTGCTGATTTACTAGAGAAAGTTAAATGGGCCAAGGTAGGCTTTCTGAATTTTAGTTTCTTTAGGCAATAACAAATTCACCAGTATTAATTACATTAATTCCATCACAACACAATTTAATTTGACATAATTTAGTCAAAAGAAGTGTTTTCTGAAATTTTTATTCCCTTGAAATATCTAAAGAACCAATACCAGTGTCATTTTGTATACCCTCTATCAACATTTTTTAGGATTTTTAGATTTGAAGAACAGCATTATGTAGAATATAGATTTTTTCTAAAGGAATCACTATTCATGCATATATACACATGAGCAAAAACACTCCAAATGCTCCAAAACACTCCAAACACATATTTATTTTCTAGATTGAAAAGACCAGTGTTGAGGTGTTTTATGCACTAAGTCAGCACATTGCTCTTCTTTTCTCCAGTTAGAGAGACACAAGTTCATAATGAGCACATTACATACAACAGCCCAAGAACCACAGCTTTCCCATGAAATTCTTTTTCAAAGGAAAAGTTTTAAAAAGCTATTGTGTTTTATTATGAAAATATGAAACTCTACCCTTCCATTATAAGACTTTATCCTGTTTCTGAGTTTCTAAGAAGTAATATTTGGTTATGGAAATAACAAGGTGCCTGAGGCAGAATAATTTTTGTGAGTCAGAGTTGCTTGCAAGTGGCTTTTCTTATGGGCAGCATCGTAGAATATTAGCTACTTTCCCAAAATATAATTAGGAATGCCGACTATTCCTGGAATTGAAGGAACAGCTTGTGGGTACTAATGAATGAATTTTTATTGTAGTAACAATATAGTCTTTCATCAGTAACATTTTGTAACCAATTTGGGTCTCTGATTGCATACTTAAATGGAGCTTTTAAGAGATGTTATAACATAAAAACTGATTCGTTCTCTTCTAGCTTGCATTTTAATATCAAACAGAGAAGGTTAAAATGGGAAGCAGATGATGAGCCCCAAGCTTCCTGGGTATCTAGGAAAGTACCAAGATACTCACAACAGAGACTGCATGTGGGTTGTTGCACTTTGTGGGGTGGTAGGGCGGGTGGAGGCTGTTATAGGCCTGTGGAATAAGGTACAAACACACATGAGCATTGCCATGTAACAGAGATGTTAAGCAGACTACTTTGTCTATTTCCATAGCCTTGTTCTTAAGTTATATTTTCATCGTGTTCCATCTCTCCCATGCTGTTCATATTCAACCCCACATCGCTCTTGTCTCACACTTCCCTTTAGCTTTATGGGTCACAAGAGTAATTTTCATTCACTGTTTCTTTTTAAACCTTCCAGGAAAACGATGAAGAAGCCAAGAAGATTGCAAAAGAAGGGCAGTTAACTGCTAGGGACTTGCTACAGCCACACAGGCTTTACTGCTATTATTACAGCGTACTGCAGGTCAGTGCGGAGTGCGCTTCCTGCTGGGTTGCTGGTCCTCAACCTGCATGCATGGCCTGAGTGCCTCACGTCCAGGGGCGTCAGGCTGTGGAGCTCTGGTTAGGCTGAGGCACCAGTCTAAGGAAATTAGGAATAGTGCTAAGTCCCCTTGTAGCCAACATATTTTTATCTTCATTCAGTATTACAAAAACAATAACAATACTTAGAGCCTTACAAAAGTAGACGAACAGCTCTTGCTATCTCACCAGTGCTGTCTTTTATTAAATGCCTTATGGAATTCCTCATCTGGAAAATTATATGGTTAGACGATGGGTCTTTAACAATTCTTTCTGCTCAAAATGTCTACCTTTTTGTTCTCCATGCTACTTAAGATGCATGCATTTGCTATCCCAGTTCAGGATGGAAAGCAGACATTTAACTTGCTACATAGTAGAAACAAATGAAAAATATTTATAGTGGTTCTAACATCTTAAGGCTAAATAATGATGTACTTACTGTACAAATGTTTATTGGGAATCCAGGGATTGGTTCTTTGAATAACTACCTGTGTGTTACTCATTAAAATCTAACCAGGAAGAAAATAAGTAAGAAAGTATGTCCTTGTTTTTAACCTAAACTTATTTTTCTTTGGGCAGATAAAAACGTGAATTTCCTCAGATGCTTGTGGATACTAACCTTTCATAGAAAAATTTAAATGATAAATTATACCATTTACTAGAAGCAACCTTTCCCTTAGATGAGTTCCGTTCCCTCTGCTGGGCTGGTAGGAGGTTCCCTCCCTACAATATTAATTAGGCTCCTGTATTCATGTCAATATTTTGTTGGGTTTGGCCCTGGACCAGGAGTATACAGCTAAATGTACATGAAACCACTGAACTGAAAAATCCAATTTATAGGAATATTCATCAGCGGCCAAAGTGGAGGAACATTTCACAGGGCTATCACCATTTAGAAAATGTGTGTGACTACATACCTAAAAGGAGAGATGTATGAGACCCCCCCAACTTTGTTTTAATATGCTTATCATCTGATTTGAATATTCAATGAAGTTAATTATACATTAAAAAGGGAGAATAAATGCCAGGCAGCACTGCAGTTTCAAAGACACTTGGCTGGACATCCATCCTTCTTGTAAAGGCATCCTACCAACACGTTAAACTGAATCAGGGTTCCTTGTTAAATTATGAAATATCACACTAGTAACTATAATAACTAGAGTTAAAATGTAACTTTAGGACTGGAACAACCAGTCCAAACCAGACCTTTGGTATGCAGTAACTAGAAATAACAGCATAAGTGGGAAGGAATCAGTGGAATGATGTGTGGACTAATCTTTTTGTTGCTTTCAAAACATATTTCAGAAATATGCTGAGCGCCAGTCCAGCAAACCCAAAATACGTGATGGAATGGAACTTGTTTCTCAGCCAGGTGATAGCACATCCATCTGCCAGTGCCACAGGAAAAGACCTTTAAAAGAAGATCTTTAAGTCAGCCCAGATATACACTCTTATGTATGCCGGCTACATCTTGGATGGAAGCATTCGGATAGAATCTAAGCTGTGAAGAACACAGCTTGGGAGACTTTACCCAGAGAATTAGTTCTCTTGCTGGCTTTATGTCATGTGGGGGATAGAGCAATTTAGAACAAGAATCACCAAATATTTTCATATATTAATCTCTTTTGAGTAAAAGCTTCTATTGTCAGTATCACAGTTTCCCTAAAAAACAACAACAACAAAAACACTTGGGGATCATAGTAGAGAGGCTTGCCAAAATATACATTGTTCTCTAGGAAATCATATATATAATTTTTTTTTCATGGAAGTTAATGATTGAGTAATTTATTTTCTAAGTATATTTTTTGATTATGCTATTACAGTTCCATTTTCCCCCTTTGCCGTCCTCCATACAGTACCCCCTTCCCTCCAGCAATCTTCCCCCTTAGTTCATGTCCATGGATCATACATATGTTCTTTGGCTTCTCCATCTCCCATACTGCTCTTAACCTCCCCCTGTCTATTTTGTACCCACCATTTATGCTTCTTAATCCCTGCACCTTTTCCCCCATTCTTCCCCTTCCTCCTCCCAGCTGATAACCCTCTATGTGATCTCCATTTCTATGATTCTGTTCCCCTTCTGGTTACGTGCTTTGTTTTTGCTGTTGTTTTTGTTTTTTAGAATTAGTTGTTGATAGTTGTGAGTTTGTTGTCATTTTAATGTTTATAGTTATGATCTTTTTCTTAGACAAGTCCCTATAACATTTCATATAATAAGGACTTGGTGATGATGAACTCCTTTAACTTTATCTTGTCAGGGAAGCACTTTATCCTATCTGCACTTCCATTCTAAATGATAGCTTTGCTGGATAGAGTAATCTAGGTTGGAGGTCCTTTCTTTCCATCACTTGGAGTACTTCTTGTCAGTCCCTTCCAGCCTGCAAAGTTTCTTTTGAGAAATCAGCTGACAGTCTTATGGGAACTCCTTTGTAAGTAACTCTCTGTTATTCTCTAGCTGCTTTTAAGATTCTCTCTTTGTCTTTAACCTTTGGCATTTTATTTATGATGTGCTTTGGTGTGGTCCTAGTTGGGTCCAACTTGTTTAGGACTCTCTGTGCTTCCTCAACTTGTATATCTATTTTCTTCACTAAAGTAAGGAAGCTTTCTTTTATTATTTTTTCAAATAAGTTTTCAGTTTCTTGTTCTTCCTCTTCTCCTTTTTGGTATCCCAATGATTCAGATGCTGGCATTTTTGGATATGTTCTAGAATCTTCTTAAACTCTCCTCTTTTTAAAATTCTTTTTTCTTCTTCCTGTGCTGGTTGAATGTTTATTTTTTTTCCTTATGTTCCAAATCATTGATTTGAATCCAGGCTTCCTTCCCTTCACTGTTAGTTCCCTGTGGTTTCTTCTTATTTCACTTAATGTAACCTTCATTTCTTCCTTTACATTTCTGCCATACTCAATGAGATCTCTGAACATCCCAATCACCATTGTTTTGACCTCAGCATCTGATAGGCTGGCTACCTCTGTTTCATTTAGTTCTTTTTCTGGGGTTTTGTTCTGTTCTTTCATTTGGGCCATATTTCTTTGTCTCCTCAATTTGGCAGCCTCCCTGTGTTTGTTTCTGTGTATTAGGTGGAGCTGTTTTGACCCCCTGTCTTAGCACACCTGTTAAGTTATATGGGGGAGAGCCTTAGGTATTTGCCAAGGAAGTGCATCCCACTATACCACTTTGTGGCTCTGTGTGATGGGAGGGGTTTGCAAGGGGACAGTGCCACTACCTGGCTTCTGGAGGGTTGCCTGGCCCTTGCCCAGTTTCCAGTGACTTCACCCATTTCTCATATGCATCTGGCACCCTTCTAGCTGTTGCCATGGTGGTGAATCCCAGAGTGGGTGGTTTTGTGTACATTCTAAGTCCATGCAGGCCCTTTAAACAGACTCTTCTGAGAAACCATCAGTTTCTCTCACCACCCCACTCCCCACTGGTTTTTATAACCAGAAGTTATGAGGCTTTACCTTCCTGATGCTGGAACCCTGGGCTCTGTGGTCTGGCCTGGAGCTGGAATCGCTCACTCCCAGGGCATACCTCCAGATTTTTACCCACCACACATGAATGTGGAACCACCCATTTTACCACCACTGCTGTCACCTCTCCCACCCCACCTCCATGACTACAACTTTCCTATCTTTCTGGATGAATATGGCTTCTTTAAATCCTTAGTTGTCAGACATCCATACAGTTCAATTTTCTAGCAGTTCTGGTTGTTTTTGTTTTAAGGTTAGTTGTAATTCTTCCTGTGGTTGAATAAGGAGGCAAAGAGCGTCTACCTATGGCTCCATCTTGACTGAAAGTCTGTATGTCACATTTATTAATTCATTTTTACCCCTTGTTCACTTTCCCTCTCCCCTATCCAGTTAGGAAGAAAATATATTGTGCAGTGTATTTCCCCCCCTCTCACTGCATCATTTCTCCTCCTACAAGCTGCTTTTGACATTCAATAATAGCAAACCTCTTCTTGGAAGGCCTGATAAGAATAAAGAAGAAGATGACTCTGTTATTAACAGTAGCTTGGATTCTATGGAGAGAATATTTTTAAAACCCACTCATATCTTTTGTAGTTAAGTTTTACCAACACCTGAGACAAAAGTAAGGAGAAATTGTGCCTTAAACTAGTAATTTTCAACCTATTTGGGTTGTACACTCATCAAGGAGAACAGAATTATTAAAATAGATGAGAGCATCCTATAGATACCATTCATTATCTATATATTGAATGGATAAAGATAACTATAGTCAGGTGGGGATCTGTAATTCTTTTTAATCTTTTGAAGGGATACTTGCAAACCTCTGCAACAAGCTGCAGGAAGCCTGGTACCTTAGTATTCCCTAATAAGCTTACAACAAAGGCAGGCATCCATTCCTCACTGCACCCCTCCTGTCTCACTGGATTCCATTTTTAAGATAAAAATTGGGAAATTTCCTCTTTCTTTTAAGACAAGGATTTATAGGTAAGACTTAAGATTTATAGCTAAGAAAATCGTTACACATTCCTTGTAATACCACCAATTCAAGATTCAGTTAACTGAAGAACCACACTCCAAAAAACAACTGTCCACACTCCCAATTTTAAAACATTTACCCTCCTAATTAAAATATTTACTTAATCTGGCAAATGATGTAACCACCTTACAGTAGTCATATCTATTCTTTTTTGAACATCAATAAGAATTTTCTTAATTAGATAACAGCAAAATCCCATTTAGGAACAATGTAATCAAAGCCAAGTATAGGTAGAAAACTCTAATACCCAAGTTTCTCAAAAGCACAATTGCACAGGTACAAAATAAAGGGCAAGCCGTACTGATACCAGACCTTAATGAATCTATGTCCCATATATATTGCACATAGAGTTCGAGGTTCATTGAAGATGAGATATAGAAAGTTTGCCCTTTCTCATATCTTCCTGCCCTCCAACCCTGGGTCCTTCCTGATGGCATTTTGTTAGAAACATCTTAAATTTTTTTAATTTATATCACCTGCTGCCAAACATTTAAAAGTGAGTTGAGACAAACCAGGCAGCTTCTGGGTGTGGAACCAAAAGGATGTGCTTAAGCAATTAAGTGGAGCACTTCAGGAAATTCCACTGGGAGGGAGCACCCTTCATCTAAATAATCCTCCATCATACCAATTCAGTCAGAGCCTTTAAAAAGAGGAAGTTTTACATGGCTTTTGGGTTTGTTGACATGACAAAAATGAGATTACTAAAACCATGATTCTTTCCTTTTTAGTTCATGTTACCCATGATTTCTATTAGTCATTCTTAATACTTGGACTTTCATGAAAAAATACCAGATTTTTGAAAGGAGGAGAGGGATGTAAGGATATGCAAGAAAATATAATAACTGCATTTGTCTAAATAAGCTATCAACATTTGTTGTGGCATTATTTTTATCAGTAAACATTGGAAACATCTTAAATAGCCACCATTAGGGAATTGGCTAAATAGATATGAATACATTAAGGATCACACTACAACCATTGAAAAGAATGAAGTAGCTCTAAATATACCATCATGAAAGATTTCCATAACAGTATTCAGTGAAAAACTCAAGCTTTTTCAGAAAAATATGTGTAATGTGCAACCATTTATGTAAAAAACATATATCCATGTGATTGAAAGTTTGAAAGGATATTCACCAATATCTGAGGAGGGGCTGGGGAAAAGGAATTTAAACTTTATGTGTTATACCTGTCTATGATGTTTAAAATGTATCTTACCCCCTGGCTGGTGTAGCTCAGTGGGTTGAGTGCAGGCTGCAAACCAAAGCATCACAGGTTCAATTCCCAGTCAGGGCACATGCCTGGGTTGTGGGCCAGGTCCCCAGTGGGGTCCACATGAAAAGCAACCATACATTGATGTTTCTCTCTCTCTTTCTCTCTCCCTTCCTGTCTCTAAAAATAAATAAATAAAATATAAATAAATAAAATGTATTTTACTGTAAGTGTGAATCAGATTATAAAATAAAGAAATGCAAACCTAGCAAAAGACAATAGATGCGCGAGATATACAGAGGAAAACAAAATAAATATTTGTATTTTTCATTATGCTGTTTTTAAATCTACTAGGTCTAGAATTTTATATCATGGAATGTGTTATTACACTTTTTAAATAAAGTAAATTTTTTAAATAACATTTTGAAAAAAGTAAATTTTATTTTATTTTTAAAGAGATTGTTGCCACCTATAGCCCTGGTATTTTTGTAACTAGGTTGGTCTAATTTTAATTCCATCAGGTCTTCATGAATAAATGAACCAAAATTTTTATCACCATCATTCGATCCTTAATGAGTAGAAATCTAACATTAGAGGAAAAGATATTTTGACTTGGCACTGTTACTTTTTGTTTTTTCAAGTGAAAATACAATTTGTGCAGTATCTTATTTAGGTTGCCATTGTACAGACATACCACAGACTGGTATGTGTCACTCAATATTTGCTGGGTCACTTAAACAGCAAATATTTATTTTTCACAGTTCTGGAGGCTGAAAGTCTAAGATCAGAGTGCTGACAGATCCAGTGTCTGATGAAAGCCTGCTTTCAGATTTGCAGACTGACACCGTCCCTTCGTATTCTCATATGGCAGAGAGAGAAGAAGCAAGCTTGTCTCTTCTTATATGGCCTTAAATCATCGTGAGGGCTCCACCCTTATGACCTAATTACCTCCCAAAGCCCTGTCTTCAAATACCATCATATTAAGGATTAGGGTTTTAATACATTATTTAGGGGAGGTTGGGTACTAACATTCTATCCATAGTAGGCAGGGAAAGGAAAATCCTCCCCTGGCATAATAAAGCCAAGGTAGAAGAAATATAAATTTATTGTAGGGAAAAGAACTCATCCTTGTGGTGATGAGGTATGTTTGACTTCAAACAGTCAAGGACAAAATTGCTAGAGTAAAAATCCCTCTTTTTATATACAGAATCACAATTCACCCTTTCCCAACCACAGCTGCTGAAAATTCACCACTGCTGAATCTTCCAGATACCAAGATCAAAGTTAAGTCTTTTTCAAGCCATGTTCTCTCTGTAGAGCTGTGTGAAAAGGAAAGCCACTAAACTTTACTCTGATAATCAACACTGCAATATTTCTTAGACACAAGGGCAGTAAGAGACTGGGGTTGGTTTATTCTATAGAAAAAAATAACTAATCCAGGCAGGTGGAGAAGGATATGTGGAGGGAGATAGGACAGCCAGAAGTTAGGTGAGAAGGTGAAGACAATTAGGAAAAAAAGGAGTATTTTTTTTAGCTACCTGTTCTGTTTTACCCCCAATTTGGGTATACTTTGATACAATTTTGACATTAAGCACCTGAATCTAGCGTCAGACTCTCCAGGTTTCAGGGCTCAGTATTCCATACAATTGCCCTTAGAGACATCAGCCACAGGTGAGGTCCTTAGCCCACCCACAGTTCTGCCCCACTGGCTACAAACTCAAGGGTTCCTGTGACACTTTCTCAGCTTCGATGATCCATTAGAACAACTCACAGAACCCAGGCAAATGCCATACTTAATTATTATACTTTTATTTTTAAAGGACACACACAGGGCAAGGTCTGGGGAGTCGGGGCATGTCACCATCCCTGAACATCAGCTTGTTCGCCAGTCAGGAAGCTTCACTGAGCTTTAGTATCCAGAGTGTTTTTTGAATCTTATTATGCAGGCATGATTGATTTAATCATTGGCCATGTGATTGAACTCAGTCTCCAGCCTTTTTGCTCTGCCAGGAGTTTGGACAGCTGAAAGGCCCAACCTCTAATCATGTGCTTGGTGCTTTTTGTGGCCAGTTCCCATCCTGAAGCTATCCAGGGGCCTGTCATGAGTACCACACTGGCTTTAAGAAACTTTTATCATTCAAGAAATTCTAAAGGTTTCTGAAGCTCTATATGAGGAACCAGAGGTAAAGACCAGATATGTTCATAATATCACAGCACCTCTGAGGGCCTGGGAACTCACAACAACCTGTATCATGAAGCTTGATGCAAGGGAATTAGGTAGCAAGATTACCCTCGCTCTAGAAGGTTTGGGACAAATAATTAAGCCTTACAGTTAAGATATACATTAACCAAACCCCATCTAATTTAGTTCAGAGAATGTGGTAAGAGGATATTTATAAGTAGGCAGAGAATACATCTCTTATTACAATTTCTAGAGGTTATTATCCATAACATTAATGTAAATTAGTGAACAGCAAGAAGTACCATACTTCAAATGACAATGAATCAGCTAAAGAAAAATGAAGGCTGTTGCCCCTTTACACCCTACCTCCTTAACTTTCTCTTCCCCAAAGAGTAACAAGAACCCCCTGTCACCACCAGTGTCGCTAGCTAGTACCACTAGCACTGCACATATGAAACACAGACCTGACACCTGGGTGGGAACTAAATGAGTCCTCCATGGAAAATTGCTTGTCTTCTGCCCCATGTTCTTATTTAAAATCAAAGTGATTCACTAAGTGATTCCCATTTTGGAACACCTTGGCATGACACAAAGACTTATAAAAGAGGAGAACATTAGAACAACATTCTGTTCTGGTTACCATAATGGAAGTTTTCTGTTCCCTCTGAATAACTGTAGAATGCATGTTAAGTGAGAGATACAATATAGATTTACATAGCTAAATCCTCTGAGCCCTTACCTTTATTTTTGTTCACTTATTCTTTGCTACTAACATTATCAGTTGATAAGCCCCTTTTAAGAATGGGCAATCCTTAACACGAGTCATGGGGGTGAGGAAGACAGACTTCTGTGCAAAGAATTAGCTCTTCAAACTGCTAAACCTCATAACATGAATAACATATCTGCTTGGAGGCCCTCCCAGCTTCCTTCAGGCCACTGCAAGACTTGTACATTTGACCTACACCCATTACTCGTGTATGACAGTGGTTTTCTACTACATGGAAAATTGACAAAAAGACCTCATGCTCACATACAAGGGCAGTCTTGTCCATTGTTGGGGCTTGTTCCTGTGCCAATGCAGTAGAGGAAAGAAATGGTATGGAACTGTGGTTCCTCTACCTCTGTATGAAATATTTCCTCTTCTCGCTTACTAATTCATTTTATGTCCTCATCTCTTGTCTTTGCCTTCTAACTGGAAAGCAAGAAAATTAATCTTACGAATATAATATTACATGTTGTATACTAAGAAAAAAATAAAAGAGAGGGGGAAAAAGAGGAGTAGATTAAGTGTGTGTAGAAAAGAGAGAAGGCAGGAAGGAAGGACAGACTTCTATAAAACCACCAAGAACTTTCTCTCAGTCATATTTCCTAGTAAGGTGTTCCTAGATTTAAGCAGGTGTATATAAAATGCTTATATAGAAAACCTGATGGTTTGAGTAGTAATGGTCCTTTGTGGCTACTTTAAAGAAGTATTTTCTTTTAAAAGAACTGAAAAATGTTTACATGTAGTAGAGCAATGAAAAGAGGTCTGAGCTTATTGCTAAGAAATTACTGAATTCTTCTGGATCAGATTAGAGGCAAAATAATACATGTTTAAATAGTAATGATTATAATTACTTTTTTAGTAATTCAAATAGGCATGTCATTAAAAATATGTAGGACTTACTTTAAAAGTAATATATAAACAAGTAGTGTCCCTTAAATGTATTTTTCTATTTCATTTTCTGCGTTTAAAAAGTAATTTTTTTCTGAATTATTTACTGGCTTAGTTTTGTAGTTTTATCATTTCAGTTTTTAAAATTTTGGTGAAATACACATAAGTTTACCATTTTAACCATATTTAAGAATACAGTTCAGTGAAATAAGTATATTTAACAGTGTTGCACAGTTTTGAGGTTTTGAATTTAAAATTTTAGGTCTAGTTTCTACTAAATTAAAATATTAAGTACAAGTATACCTAATGTTTCCATGATTATATTTTTCAAGTTTTTTATTCATAGCTACTGTGTATTTATACATCAAAGTAACTACATGAAAGGGAACTAAAGCTCATCCCTCCTGCTTATTATGATTGTGATAATGATTTTAAAGAATTCTGGAAGCTCATCAATTACTGAATTAGCCTACAGGGAATTTCTTCAAAACAAATGTTTTTATTGTACAGGGAAATTTTTCTTCTGGTGTTTTTTTATACATTGACCTTCATCTTTGTTACAAACTAATTGTATTACATGCATGTACATAGGAAGGAAATAGAACTGGGCAGTTTCTGAACAAGATTATTCAACATTGCAATAATCGATGACAAACTAAAGCGCTGCCAAAGTGTGAGATATTTAGATTTCAAGAGAATCAAACTTGCTTTAGATCTGCAGTAGTTGTGTAATTTAAGGTTACCTGGATATTCATTTAAGACGTCATGTTTTCACTTAAAAATTGGATTAGGGTTAACCGGCTAAAGAGCTTCAATTTAGAAGTAGCATATGGACTGCAGTCACGTGTCACTTTATTCTTGGATCCTGAGCAAGACCTGTCAAATCACCGGTAAGATCGGTTTTCTTATTTACAAATTAATAAGTTAATTAAATAGAAAACACTTCACTGTACTTCTCTAACATCTTTAAAATCCTGGTTGAAGTGGCCGGAATTTATAATATACTGAGTCCTATTTTGCAGAAAATCACTTCCGTTTCCCTTCTAAAAACCTTTCCCTGAGGGCCTCTAACAAATCACAGCCACCTCACTCGGGGGTGATGAAAAATGTCAGAGACGAGGGGCGGGGCTGAGAGGCGTGGCTAATAGGGTCAGACCCGGAAAAACCAATGGAACAAGAATACGTCATTTCCGCCTGCGTTTTTTGTTTGTTTGTTTGTTTGTTTTTTGTTTTTACGGAGTACAGAAGCGAACCCAGGCAAGCGGCTATTGGCAGGTGAAGGGAATGGTGGTCCCTCCTTATCAGCCGGTACCACTCGTTTATTGGGAGACTGGTTTCCGTCTACGCTGTTTTAGAGCTTTAAAGGCCCCCAGCCGCGGAGGTCCGCACCCCACACAACCCCTTAAGGAAGTTTCGTTTCTCTGCAGCCCCCACGAGGCCTCAGCCTCTCCAGAGTTCTCGCCCAGGGCTAACCCCTTCGCCCGCGCACGCTCCTGGCCCTGGGGGAACAGCGCGTCGCTCTGGGTGGAAAGCGCTCCCCGCCCATCCGCCGGCTTGCAGTTCCTCACGCTCCCACCTGTCCAAGTGCTATGGCGTCCACCTGCAGGCCGAGGGGGAAATACTTGTTAACCCACCTCGTATTTTCTGGACTTTTTTTCTGTGCCACCCATGAAATGATTTTACGTTTTCCCGTGTAGTTATTTAGAGATGGAAAAGGGAAAGGCGTTTTTAAGGAATGGGTTTAGTAGTTGTTTTCCTTTATCTGCTGTTAGTAAAAAATAAATAACAGGAAAAAAGGAAAAGCGAAGCTACAAAACTGAAAAAAATCACAAAACAACCCTTTATTCAATAAAACAGTAAGAAACGAAATGGGAAGTATATTAATTTTAATACTATTTTCTAACTTATAAAGTAAGTGGAACGGAGAATCTAAAGGTTTATCTTGTAGGCTTTTTCTCATGAGCGGAGCTATATGTTATAAGTTATTGATTTGGGATGTTATTGATTTGGGATAGACAAAACTCTTACCTCAAAATCTGCAAGTAAAATCTTTTATTACCTGAACAGTGGTTTGACATCACTTTTTAGTACCTTAGGATTTATGAAGTGTTTTCACATTGGTTAATTTATTGGGAGCCTCGTAATAACCATATGACATCAGTATTGTTTTTAATCTAAGGGCCTAAACTGTCCTTATCCCCCCTTTCATCCCTGGACCTTGTCTTCTTAAACCTACTCAAAAGACTTTTACCCCTCAATGTATCCCTCTCTTTCACATTTAATTTCTCCCCCACTACTGGATCATACCCAACAACACCTTAACATGCATTAATATCTCCCATATTAAAAAACTAACATCTTGAATCCATTCCCACCATCTAGCAACCACCCCATATCTCTGCTCCCTAACAGAGGTCCAAGAATTGTTACTATTCTCAACTTTTTCAACTTTCCCACTTCCTCAACCATCCCAGGCTTTCTTCCTTGCTCCTCCACTGAGACAGTACTGTCAAGGTCACCATCAATTTTATCTGGCCAAATCTAATTTATTCTCAATCCACTTGACCTTCCAGCAGCATTCGACACAACTGAGCATGTTTTTTCTTGAAATATGTGGAATTTAATTATTCCTCAGTAATGTGAATGACTCATTTCTGACTCAGATAACTTTGAATACTGGAAGATATTTTGTCAATATTTTGAGCTATTTATAGCATACTCGTGACATGTATGCTAGTGTGCATTGCCATTTTCACCACTACTTTCTTAAATCTAGACAACCAACAAAACAATAAATCAAGCCCTGATTCATGGAGTTTCCAGACTCCTGTGATGTAAATTTCCCCACCCTGGCCAATTCCAAGCTACAATCATGGCCTGAGTAACTGGGAAGAGATGTACAGTAGTGCAGTGTCAGATAGTGTTTCCACCATGCAGAGACCAGTGGTTCTCAACTGTGGTTGATCTTGCTCCCCAGAGGACATTTGGCAATGTCTGGAGGAAATTTTGGTTGGTTATCACAACTGTGCTATTGGCATCTGTTGGGTAGAGGCCAGAGATTCTGCTAAACTTCATACTGTGCATAAGACAACCCACACAACAAAGAATCCAGCTCAAACTATCAGTGCCACTGTTGAGACACCTTGTGATAAACATAAACAACCTCAAGAAAATAAGTAGAAGTAAAATAAGTAGAAGTGATAGGGAGGAAAAAACTTTCTTAGATTCTGTGATTGAGGCCTACATTAAAATTAAACTGACAAAAGATAGATTAACAGGAGAAAAGGTATAAAAACATTATTTGATGTTAATGTTTTAATTTTACATGCACACAAAAAAGGAAATGAAAACCCAGAGGGGCTGTTAGTAATGTATACCATTTTAACAAATGGAGATAAGTTTGTGAAGTGAGCAGACACAGGAAGAGAGGTTTGGGAGTAAACTACTGGAAGATGAGGGTTATGTAAGTAAGGTTTGTTTGTGCAGACCCACCTCAGTGCCAGTGGTAAGTCATTTTCCTCCTCCTGGTATGGAAAGGAAAGGGGGACCACCTTCACAAAGGGAAATTACTGATGTGGACCCCAGCCGGCAGTGTCCACAGTGTTGTGGATGCGACAAACAAGTTTGCACAGACTGCAGAAGTCGGGTGGAGAAAAGGGACAGCATGGCCACTCTGAAAGAAAGAACACCCCGGCTGGTGCCTGGATTGCCTTTTATTGCTTTCTGGGAGTATTATATCAAGGAAGGTCCTTATTCATTATGCTCAGGCAGTAATGATCAAACAATAGACAACATTCAAAGAACTATGAGGGCTTATTCGGAGTCAGGGTCAGTTAGCTAAAGGACCATAAAACTTTGGGAAACAAACTCATTTCATGCTGGGACCCTTATCAGAAAATTGAGAGCATTCTTAGCAAAGGAGTTTTCACAGGATTTTATGCATTCTCTCTTATGCCTGATCACCCTAGGGAACTGCCTATTCCTACCCAGGACTGCAGCGCCCTCTGGCATTGTTTCAGGCTTAAGTCAGGCAAGGGAAGTAAAGCAGTGAGATTAGGAGATTTCGTGCAGACAGAATGAGGACTCAGGCTATGTCAAAACTGAGGGGTAAAGGTCAATCATCCCCTTTTTCTATAGACCCCCAAATCCTTCCCTGAGGTCCCCTTTGCGACCATGGCTGTCTTAGGTCATCTCTCCCTTGAGGAATCTTACTCATCATTGGCTAACCAGTCATCCACCCGGGGCCAAGCAGGGTAAAGTAAAAGGGGGCAGAGGCAGTGCCCCTGCCAGGAAGATAAGCTTTGTCTCTTTAGTGACTTATGGTCCCAAGGTCTTTTACTCAGCCTTAGCCATGGGGGATTACAGCTTCTGCAACCAGGCAGGGTGGTTCCCAACAAATCACCTCCTTGTTTTGGGCAGCTAGATGCAGGGTAAAGAGCTTTTCCTACATCTGCTGTTTCTCAGTTGTCTTCAGCTCAAAATAATTTGTATGTCAAAGTGGCAAATTTTGGGGTGGAATTTTCCAATCCCCTTTAATAGTAAAATAGTAAGCAATGAGTTTTCAGTATTTATTCCCTTTATTTTATGTAATTGTAAGTTTAAATAATTTAATTTTTAATAATTACTTTAAAAACCAGCTCACAAAATTTTTGAAAATTTAAAATTTGGTTTTACTGAGCCAGTACAAGCCAGCTCCAGCCTACCACCCAAACCATGTCAATTAATTTCCCATACAGTTATAGCCTGGCACCTGCCTACATTTTTGATCTTCTACTCCTCTGCCTTTTCTCTAAGCTCCAAAGACAGTTTTCTTTCAACCACTTGCCAGTCATTTCCTGTTTGCATCATGCAAAGTAAAGTCTCCTCATTGGACAGGCCTTCCCTGACTACATGTGCTGAAATACTCCTGTCATTCTTTATCCCACTACTCTGTTTTATCTTCTTCCTTGCATATGTACTTCTTTTGGCGTGTATCTCCATATTTTAAATAATATGTTATTTGACTTATTCTTGATTTATTTTAGATTTAGCTATTTCTGGTAACCTCCTATGATATAAAATGAAAATTTAGTACTCACACCAAGCCACCACAATACACGTACATGCATACATACACTCATCCCATGCCCTATTCTTCCTAATTAAAAAAAAAAAAATCCTGCCATAACACCAAATAGGTTCTAAAAATGTAACTTCATACAGTATAAGATTGAGTTACTCCAAAATAATAAATATCCAGGGTAAGTGTGCTTTGGAGACAGGAGCCAATCACCAATCATGTTATATCCAAATTCATATTATCATGGGTGCTATCATAGGGTGTATTCAGGTGGCTGTTGCTGCAGTCTGTGAAAGAATTCACAGAGAATAAAAGGCAGAGAGCAAAGTTTTAAATTCACTTTCCATGAGGGAAAGGGGCTAGTGTGAAGAGATACAACAGCTGTGAAAAGTTGGGGCTCTGAGTTTTTATTGGCTGATAAAGGGGGAGAGGAAGAAAAATGGAGCTGGGTAGACACGGCAATTAGTTGTAAATTAGGAGGTTTCTGGCTGATTGTTGAGGCTTCAGTTAGTTCTGATGCCATCTTTGGGAACAGGGTCCAGAAGCTCTGGTATGGCCTGTCTTGTTTGTACACATTTTGAAACACCCGCTCCAGGGATCTTGCATGAGGAATGCTTTTCAGCAGTCACTCCAGTCCTGAGAATCGAGGCTCAGAGAAGCAACAGTTAATCATGCCTGACAGACTCAAGGGAAGATAGACAGCTAGCCCAGGTAAAGAGGGCCTGAAAGAGACCTTTTTTGTTCTTTCAGGGTATGTAATTATGGTGTGTTGCTGTCATTGTATCACATATTTTGATAATTATTCCTGGCTGAACCATAGTAATAGTTTAGCTTTATTTTCTTTTCTTTTGCCTGCTGACAGATACTTAAACACCAGTCAGGTATTACTCCTCTGGTCTAACCCCCCAATAGTTTTCCATCACACTTAAAATTCTAACTTTTTACAACGGAAGGTACAGTGTAAGCTGTTATCCCGCTACATTTCTGCTGTTGTCCTGTACCATTCTTCTTTCCAGTAGTCTAAGCCAAACAGGCCTTCTCCCTGTCCCAGCTTCCTGTTTCATTGCCTTCACACTTGCTATCCTGTCTGCCTAGAAAGCTCTCCGGATGTGTAAATGGCTCACTCCATTCTGGTTTCTTAAACAATAATGAAGTCACATAATATGTAGAGTGTTTAGCCTCCTTCGATACTTGTTGTGTTAGTTCCCAATAAATA